TGTGTGTGGTGTTCGACGTTGGTGTAGATAGAGGCGGAGGCTGAAGGGTCGTGACAGGTACAGATAATTATATGTTAGGTAATGAGGCGAGGAAGATGACGAGGTGTGGCGAGTGGGAACATGACAGCTGGTGCGATAGTGAGTGGCTGTGCGTGAAGGTGAATGAGTACTACGGCCTAGTGAATATGACCATGACCATGGTGATAACGGGAGCCAGAAATATTCAATGGTAACCTATAACTATGGTAACATATGTTTTCTCTGACGTGGGTTGAGGTGACCTCGTCCCCTCATGTCTAGTGACCTGAACCTCTTAATTCTGGTGATGTGTGTACTCATGGAGATTACCACACTTGGGGGTTACTTCCTGCTAGCGTCAATGGCGCCATGTTGGTCTCTATCACAATGGGAACGGTGGTGAAGATGTCTAAATTTAACTCTCTTACAGTCCTTGAATTTTGTTCCATTCCAAAATGTAGAGGTACCAAGAATTTCATCTCGGGTCGTACCAGGAGGCCCCCACAACGAGGACCGACCCTGCTATGCCCTCTAGTTCATTTTGAACAATTTGAGAACCTATTCCCTTTTTTCTCCACCTTGGGTTCACTTTAACACAGCACAGATCTCGAACTGAGAAGCTTACTGATGACAACAACATTTTTGGGTTCTGGAAGTTTTTGAGGACCTTATTCAATTATATTGTAGAATGGTGTGGAAAATCTTAAACTTTATTTTGTTTTGAAAGCTAGGAGCTGCCTCACCCAGCTTCTTCAGGGAAACCTCCTTTGACTAGCGGAAGCTAAGGAGATTTCGGAAGGCTGTGCTGACAATGACCTTTCACTGAAAGTGACAGTGACCTGACAGTGACGGCTTTCACCCGTTGTGCTGACAGTGACCTCACAGGGTGCGTGGGAGTTGACGGTGATGTACCCGGGCGTCGAAATGCGACCATGGCAAAGTCCGAGGGCTCCTGCAGGTTGGTTGGAGCCAGCCGTCACCGCTGCTGCTGCTGCCGCTTCTGCCGCTGTTCAGTGAGTCTGGAGGTAGTCGAGCGCTGCCCCGAGCGCCCAGCCCAGGCGGAACCCCTGGATTTTCTCACACACCTGAAAATAAGCAGTTTTTGTAGATGCTGCCGCAATAATATCATGTAAGGAAAATTGTTAGAGCCTGGTGTGCCACACCTGGGAGCCTGCCCAGCAGGGGGTCCTCCCACACACCTGGGAGCCCAGCAGGGAGTCCTCCCACACACCTGGGAGCCTAGCAGGGGGTCCTCCCACACACCTGGGAGCCCAGCAGGGGGGTCCTCCCACACACCTGGGAGCCTGGCAGGGGGTCCTCCCACACACCTGGGAGCCTGGCAGGGGGTCCTCCCACACACCTGGGAGCCCAGCAGGGGGTCCTCCCACACACCTGGGAGCCCCAGCAGGGGGTCCTCCCACACACCTGGGAGCCCAGCAGGGGGTCCTCCCACACACCTGGGAGCCCAGCAGGGGGGTCCTCCCACACACCAGGGAGCCTATATATATATATATATATATATATATATATATATATATATATATATATATATATTATATATATATATATATATATATATATATATATATATATATAATATTATATTTTGAAGGGAGTACAACCTCTGGCTGGAAAAAGGGAACCCTTAGCCTCGGAGGAAATCACACACAATGCATTAGATGGAATGTTTAGGTCCCCTCCAATACAGTTTATTTGTGCTTTTCTCCTACCACCCCCCTCCTTTTGTATTTTGTTGTGCTTTATGAGATATTTAAAGGTTACAAGATGTACATTAGTTAATAAAATAGGGTTTAAAGGTTATGGATCTCTTGGAGCTCCTCCACTTCCGGCCAGGAACTGAGGATGCAGCAGCCATTTTCCCCTCTGGATTGCGACACTAAGGCGCTGAAACAGGAAACTGGCAGCATTGGGTCTCTGGTGATGTCACTGAGCCTGGAACCCAATTCTTTGAGGAATTCCAGGGCACTCTTACCCCAGGGGCCATGCATCTCAGATGCTATGGGAACAAAGGTGTATTGACCTTCCAGTTGCCTGTACTTGATTGATTTTGCTGTTTTCCTGTGGTTGGCTGCCCCACCTGCTTGATCAACACTGAAGCGTATGTATTTGTTGGCTATGTGGATACACATGTGTAGTCCCACGCCAGCTGTCTGCCCCTCTTCCAGGAGTATTTTGTGATGCCGTCTGGGTGAAGTGGGGGTTATCTGAGTTTTGGCTTCCTAGGATGTGAGGTTCGCTCTCCGCTGGGCACTGAGCCGAGACAAGGCTCCTCTTGATGATGTTATTGACCTCTTCGTGTCTTGCATGCCAGCCCTTGGATTCTCTGCAGTGCAACTCATGCAGTCCATATTGGTCTGCTTCCACCCTGTTGCAAATACACTTGTATTCAGTGTGAATTGGGGCACCAGTCAGCGAGCCACTCCTACACAAAAGGATTCTGGATTTAGGCGTGTGCCCATTGCCAACATAGGTACTGCCAGAAGTAAGTCTCCTGCATGGGGGGATCACTTACTGCTCTGATGGGTTCTTGGGTTGTAGGTGTTATTTTATGATTGCTTATGCCTCCAGAGTATAGAAAATGGTTATCATTTCACTCAAACATTGCTTTTTTCAAACATGGGTTGCAAACATTGCAAACATGCGTGTTGAAGGTGCCTGAAGACTAATGAATCAGTGTGTCACAGCTGTAGATGGCAGGTGGCAGCCTTCAGGCACCTTCAAGACATCTTCCCTAACCTGTCTGAAGCAAAGGTGAAAGCAATGTTTGAGGGGAATGATAACCATTTTCTATACTCTGGAGGCATAAACAATCAGAAAATTAGACCTGCTGCCCATGAACAAAAATGTGCTAAATAGTGTAATTAAATGGATATAGTACTTAAATGGATATATTTATTAATTAAATTTAATTATTAAATAATTAAAAATTATTTAATAATTAAATGGATATATAATGTTGGAAGTCATTATTATTATTTTCCATAGCAATGTCCAGTTTCTATAATAAGAAATATATTATAAACAGACAAAAGCTCTGAAATATAGATAAATAAGTAGATTTCTTTTTTAATTTCACAGGATAGTGAAATTCAAAATTAAGGTGAAGAAATTTAATATGTTAATAAGACCTTTCATCTTGCACAAGTTTGATGACTTCCAGAAATAGTGAAGTGGGAGACCAAGGAGGGAAGGAGACATAGGACATGATAAATACAGATAACAGATATGTGGGTTGGTTTATCTGGTAGGAGAGCAGAACGCTGCCTAAGTACACTAAGGTCACTGGGTACAGAAATGAGGACAGTAAACAGAGGTTCTCTTCCTACTCTCCGCTCCTTCCAACTAACATCACCAACTGGAGAACAAAGTGGGAGTTGCATAGGTAACAGCGGTGTGGACATTTGATAGGTAAAGGAACAGTGAACCTGCCTTACTACTGATAGTGCTAATAATGTAGTGAATTCACTCTGCTGCTGTTGCTGCTGCTGTTGCTGCTGCTGTTGTTGTTTCCTTACTACAACACCTAAATATAATTCCTCTTGTTGGAGTGCATCGAATTGATTCCATAACCTAAATGGTTACAAGTAGGTCTCCTCGTTGTTTATTCTTTAAAGAAAACCAAGTGTAGATCTTTAAGTGTGTCCTTAATAAGACTTGTTCTTTTATGAGGGTCTTTAGTCGTCTTACTTAACCACAATTGTCTTCATCTATTTTGTAATTAACAAAGCGACAGTGTCCAGAGCATTGCAGGTCGGGAAGTTAACAAAATAAAAAAAAAATAAAGGACGATACTTTAATGCACATTTCTCGTCACCCTTCTTGAACACTGGCGTGACATTCCCTAGTTACCATTCATGCGGTCCCTTGTCCCCTTGTAGTGACTATATGACCCGTAATGGTCCCTGAGCTCTCGTCACCCTTCTTGAACACTGGCGTGACATTCCCTAGTTACCATTCATGCGGTCCCTTGTCCCCTTGTAGTGACTATATGACACCGTAATGGTCCCTGAGTTCTTTGGCTCAGGGACTCCTTGTACTTGGCTTCTTTATTCAATGTCTTGCTTTATTATGCACCCCATACCCATCCCGTGGGATTCTTTAGATTTAACACTTTTTGTATTTGTACGGAGGTGGGGTTCCCGAAGGTGCCCAGGTTTGTCTCTATCTCCCATGTGTCCATCAGTCTATTAATCCATTCATCTATTTTTTTTCGTCTATCCATCCATCTATCTATTTATCCATCTATCAATTCATCAGTTGAGAGAGAGAGAGAGAGTGAGAGAGAGAGAGAGAGTGAGAGAAAGAGAGAGAGAGGAGAGAGAGAGAAAGAGAGAGAGAGAGAGAGAGAGAGAGAGAGAGAGTGAGAGAGAGAGAGAGAGAGAGAGAGAGAGAGAGAGAGAGAGAGAGAGAGAGAAAGAGGAGAGAGAGAAAGAGAAAGAGGAGAGAGAGAGAAAGAGAAAGTGGAGAGAGAGAGAAAGAGGAGAGAGAGAGAAAGAGAGAGAGAGAGAGAGAGAGAGAAAGAGAGAGAGAGAAAGAGAGAGAAGAGAGAAAGAGAGAGAGAGAGAAAGAGGAGAGAGAGAGAGAGAGAGAGAGAGAGAGAGAGAGAGAGAGAGAGAGAGAGAGAGAGAGAGAGAGAGAGAGAGAGAGAGAGAGAGAGAGAGAGAGAGAGAGAGAGAGAGAGAGAGAGAGAGAGAGAGAGAGAGAGAGAGAGAGAGAGAGAGAGAGAGAGAGAGAGAACAACAGGATAAAGGGTCGACCCTCCACATAAACAGTGTTAAGTAGCAGTCTGCTTCCAGGACCCATAAATAGAAACTGTGTCACCTGGAGCTGCTGAAGGTCGTCGCCTTCACCAACAGGTTGTTTGTTAACTCAGGTCACGGGGTCATGACCTGACCTACCTGCTGGGGGTCATGGCATTGCCTAGCTGTTCGAGGTCATAACCTAGTCTTGCTGTTGGGAAGTCATGACCCGAACTAGCTGCCAACCCGTTCTCGCACTTTCGTATAGTCAATATTGACTTATTAAATACGTGCATATGTGACATACTAAACATATTAGTTTACCTTGAAAAGCTTCATAGAAAACACCGACCTTACCTAACCTTCTTAGTATGTTAAAGATAAGCATCTTATTGCTTCGTAATTACAATTATTACTTAACCTATACCTATAATAGGTTAATAGATATATTACAATTATTACTTAACCTATACCTATAATAGGTTAAGTAATAATTGTAATTACGAGGCAATAAGATGCTTATCTTAACATACTAAGAAGGTTAGGTAAGGTCTGTGTTTTCTATGAAGCTTTTCAAGGTAAACTAGTATGTTTAGTATGTCACATATGCACGTATTTAATAAGTCAATATTGACTGTAAGAAAGTGCGAGAACGGGTTGACCACATTATTCGTCAGACGTTTGGACGAAGTGGAGAGCCATGCAAGAAGGCTCATCTCTAGTCGGAATCAAGTCTGGTGGGATCGGTCTGAACATCAGAGCCTGCAACACCGTCGGAACGTTGGTGGTCTTACTGTTATGAACAAAGCCAATATTCTCAAAGTTCCGCACCTGGCCCAACTCCGTGGAGTACCAGAAGCTGGCACCCCGTGACACAGAGCACTCAGCTGTCAACAGTCTCATGCTGGAAATGCCTGTCTGAAGTACATCACTCCATCAGCGATTATTTATTGTTAGACTGACTCACATCTGTAACTTGTTCGTTCAACAGGTTAATACACGAGATATTAAGTCAACCAATCATATGAAGGCTCTGACACAGTGGGATCCTGGCTTATCTGTTCCATGTATGATTCTAAGATCTAAATAAAGTTTATTCTTAATAATTCAAATGTGATCTCATGAAATAATGTCTTTAGGGGAAGGCTTCAGATGAGCTAAGGTTGAATAGGTTGTTCTTCTGCGTTCTTGCTTGCAGTCTTACTAGCAACCTCAATGTCAGCCTTAATGAGCCCTAGTCTTAGTTTTAAGAGAGAGAGAGAGAGAGAGAGAGAGAGAGAGAGAGAGAGAGAGAGAGAGAGAGAGAGAGAGAGAGAGAGAGAGGTAGCAGGAAGGAGGGAGAGGTGGAGACGGGTAGAGAGAGACGCAGGGAAGGGTGGGGTGGGGGTAGAGTTATAGAGATAGAGAAGCAACTGGTTGTGGTGGTCGGGGTAACTCACCAGTATCTCTGTGTCGTCGGCGAGGTGGAGGCCGTGGGTAAGAAGCGCAGCCACATACTGGTAGTCGAGGCAGGCCAGCGGGTCAGGCAGCAGGCGGGGCTCGCGCGCGCACACTGTCGGGCGACAGGTCAACCAAAGGTTAAAGGTTACTTGTGGTGTAACTCCGGGGGGGGGGGGGGAGGTCATGGTGAGAGAGAGGTCAGAGGTGGAGGTCGACTTCACACATTAAGAAAAAGGGTAAGAGAGAGAAAGGGAGACAATTGATAATATATTTACAAAAACAATTATACAAATTCAATAGAGAAATAATCGAGAATTAAATGTCGTATAACCACAGAGGAACACAAGTCCTGCATTCTCTCAAGGACCGAGATCATAGAAGAACTAGGCACCTGCATCCTCACTAACATCTAGATTATAGAGGGACTAAGGACCTACATCCTCACTAGGAGGACTAATTGGGACCTGCATTCACACTACGACCAGAATCACGGGGGACTTGGGACCTCCTGAATTCTGATCTGAATCAAAATCCTCCTATCAAACAGTTTTGTAAAACATTAATATGCAATATGCAAGTGGCGATAGGTGTATAGGTCAGGGGTGAAGGAAGGAGGCTTGGCACTCAGGCACTCTAAGACCAATAACTTTAGACTCCATCATTCACTCTGGATGGTAGGAGAACGCAACGCCCCCGCCCCCCCCCCACCCTTCTCCCCGGAGAAGAGAAATAGCGAGCTTTAATAAAATGTTTATACTCACAAACGCTGCTTTAAGAAATAATAATAATAATAATAATAACAATAATAATAATAATAATAATAATAATAATAATAATAATAATAATAATAATAATAATAATCACTAATATCCGAGACCCGACCACACTCTGGACTATGGTAATAGCGTCCATACAAAGGTCGGAATGCCTCTTTACACAAGTTTCCAAAGGCAGTTCTTATGTTGGCCATCCTGGCATACGCCGCTGATGATACCCTTTTGATGTGGGCTTCTGGGGGGCAGGTTTGATGTGATATCAACCCCCAGATCTTTCGCTACTTGACTCCTGAAGGGTTTCACCTCTCAGATGGTACCTGGTGCTCGGCCTCTTGCTCCCTTCATCTACAGTCATTATTCTACACTTGAGTTAAATGTTAGTAGCCACTTTCTATACAATTTCTCCAGTTTGTCCAGGTCGACTTATAGACTTTTTCTATCTTGCTCTATTTTTATTCTTCTCATGATTTTTTAATCGTCAGCAAACATTGAGAGGTATGAGTCTATACCCTCTGGATGATCGTTAACATATATCAGAAACAGGATGGGTCCAAGTACAGAGCCCTGCGGAACTACTCTGGTGACATCTCGCCACTTTCTCCCCCTCACAGTAACTCTCTTGCTTAGATTCTTCCTTTTACACTGGAACACCTTACCTGTAATTCCTGCCTGTTTCTCAAACTTTTATACTAGCCTCATGTGGGGGTACTCTGTCAACGGCTTTCTCACAGTCTAAGAAAATGCAGTCTATCCGCCCTTATCTTTTGTAATTTTTGTTGCTTGGTCATAGAATTCTATTAAACCTGTGAGGCAGCATGATTTAACATCCCTGAACCCATGCTGGTGGTGTGTTTCATAGCTCCTTCTCACATGTTAATGTTAGTCGATAATTGTGTTAATGTAATCGATAATAATGACATTCACAGAAACATAAGCTGGTAGTGCCATGCAGACAACAGTGGTATTAGCAGTCATGGCGGTATTAATAACACTAATGACAAGTATGGCGTAGAACTTACTGATATTGGCTGCCACTCGGAACTGTCCAACCCGTACGAAACCATAGGCCATATTCGGCTCTGAAAGAGACACCAGACCTGTAGTGAACTGAGCATCATTAGTATATTTCACTGTCTATCTGCTCATGTCCTGTTTCATTAGATGTATTATCATCCTATGTCACTTAATGAATCGGTGCATTTCCATATCAGAGCCTGTAATAATAATAATAATAATAATAATAATAATAATAATAATAATAATAATAATAATAATAATAATAACAACATAGGACAACAACACATGTATTTATGTAGTTTATGCAAAGAATTGAACTACACCAAGTCTTTCCCACTCTCCTGAGTACATTGTCGAAGTCTGAGTATATAATTTGAACAAGACTTACATCTCAATGACCAATTCAGATGCTATCCTGGACCAGTCCTCTTATTTGTCTTGACCTCCTGATCATGTCACCTCACAGTTAACGTCTAGTAAGTTTATTGTGATAATAAAATACATCCTGAAAGGATAGAGTAGCTTAGGCTATTTCTACCCTCATCTACTTCAAGTCCCTCAAGGGGCTCACAATTTCATACAGTAGACAAATATACATTACAAATACATGTGCCTTAATTCAATAGTCATCGCAAGGTACATATTACAAAATACATTACAAGAATCTTAGTATTATATTCTTGGGGCAAAGTGACTGAGCCTCCCAAGAATTCTCTCAATCATACCAAGCCAATATTCTCTTAAGAGTATAATAGTAATAATGTACATCCAACGTTCCAAGACATTATCCTCGCACCATATTTTTTTCCATGAGTAGTTTTCAATTCCCTAACTTTACCGATTTCTGCCAATTTATTTGAGGAGCACAGGCCCCTTACTAAGACAGCCTCTCAACAATGTTTCCCACCACAGAGGGTTGAACATTCACCTCACTGGTAGATAGTTAATTTTCCTGGGACTCTTCCATCAGTATTACTCCATCCTGCTCCTTTCTTTCACCTCCATTACACTCCCCACTGCACTCTCCATTTCACCTCATCTACCTGCCATAGCTGATTTTTCTAGAGCTTAAATTTTCTTGTCTAACATTTTGAGATATTCCAAAATCTGTGTACCAACCTCAGAGTTGCTAATGTTGCACCTGTGCCCTATCATCACGAGTAGGCTTTTTTGGCTTCATTTCCTATTGCCACTAGGCTAGCCTTAATCATCTCCATTCCTTTCTCCTAAATGTTGGTTACAGGGGCTATCTTTGTTTACTGTTTCTTGTTCCTTAGGAACGATTGTCCCTTTCTTCAGAGCTTCATCTATCCTGCTTGTCAGAGCCAGCATTGGATCTTTCAGATGGGGCTTCATGGGACAGAGGAACAAGTATTATGGGTGCCTTAACAATTGTAACATGATGGCAAGAACTCTTCCAATCTTGACTACACTCTTGTAAATTATGTTTCTTATTGTAGTAGCAATATCTGGGGTGTCAAAGGGCCACTTAAATCCATGTATTTCCAATGTGAACACTGTATACATAATGTTGGTTCCTCAATATATTTATCCACTTTACTGTAGCAAAGTCCTTGCACAAAAAGTTTTATCTGGAGGCTCACCCTTCAACAGGACAACAATCTAGTTTTGTTTTTCACACTGTACAACATTTCTCTTCGCCCACACGACATCTTCATTGCTGAGATAGACATTCTGGGTCTAGATATGTTGGATAATTGAACACGATGACCTTAGTGTTAAATATTCCTATTTAAGGAGTTACTTAAACCAACATTCTTAAATCCATCAGCTGTTGAGTGCTCCACTGCCTCGCCTGTCCCAACTGTTATGTAGGGCCGGTGAACACCTTTAAACAACGGACCAAATTCCTTTGCCAATTGAAAACTGATCTTAATGTCCTAGAGGACATCCCCTCGTGGGAATGAAGGTGACATGGCCAGGTCAAGATGAAGGACCAACTCCTGGATAGTAACGGTATTGGTCGTTGAGACGTAAGGCCTGTTCACACTATATACTCAGACTTTGATAATGTACTCAGGAGTCGCTGAAAGACTTGAGGTTTATTTATTTATTTCAGTTCTTTAAATAAACTACATAAATACATAACTGTAGGTTTTTATCCTGTTATTATGCCTATAGCAAGACGGTTCCTTAACCTTAATAATAATATTATTGAGAAAATCCGTAGGAGTCGTGATGAGAGTTCGAACTTATGCCCTGACCATATCGTAGCCTAGATGTCTAGAGCGTGTGCCTGGGAGCACCCAGCGCACAGGTTCCTACCCTCATCACGAATTTCTCATTGATGCATCACGATAGTATGATTACGCTCAGTGAAATAATATTATTATTACTGTTATTGAGAAAATCATTTTGAGGCAATGGGATGACTAGAACCGGCGTTCTAGTGATTCCCAGACACCTGCTTTAACACACGCGGTCATAATAGAACAAAAGCCGACCAACCAGAACTCTACTGAATTCACTGGGAAATTCTGGCGGCCCCAAACTGGTTGGGCTCCATTTCGGTAGAGTTCTGGGCTGGTCGGCTTGTGTCCTATCGTGGCCGAGTGGGGTTAAGGTGTCTGGGAATCACCAGAACGTTGGTTCAAGTCACCCCATTGCCTCAAAATGATTTTCTTATTGATACATTACGTAACTGTGATTTTTTTGTGTCTATTTTTATTGTTAGTAACTACAATAATAAAGACATTGGGAACAGTAGTAACAACGTGATAATAACAATAATAAAGATTTTAACGGCAATAAACTGTAGACACACACACACACACACACACACACACACACACACACACACACACACACAGTCGAGAAAGAGAAGGGTAGGCAGACTGCATTTTCTTGGACTGTCAGCCAGCCTTTGACACAGTACCTCACAAAAGGCTGTTACAAAAGTTGGAGCAGCAGGAAGGAGTAAAAGGTAAGGTGCTACAGTGGATAAGGGAGTATCTAAGCAACAGGAAACAGCGAGTAACGGTGAGGGGGGAGGCATCAGAGTGGCCAGATGTCACCAGCGGGGTTCCACAGGGCTCTGTACTCGGACCCATCGTGTTTCTAGTAAATGTAAAGGATCTTCCAGAGGGTATAGACTCAATCCTCTCAATGTTTGCTGATGATGCTAAAATTATGAGAAGAATAAAAACAGATGAAGATTGACAGAGACTACAGGACGACCTGGAGAAACTGGAGGAACAGTCTAGAAAATGGCTGCTAAAGTTCAACTCAAGAAAGTGTAAAGTAATGAAATTAGGCGAAGGGAGCAAAAGGCTGAACACAAGGTACCATCTGGGAGGTGAAATCCTGCAAGAGTCAAATAGAGAGAAAGTTCTGGGGGTTGATATCACACCGAACCTGTCCCCAGAGGCCCACATCAAAAGGATATCATCAGCGGCATATGCTAGACTGGCCAACGTGAGAACTGCCTTTAGAAACTTGTGTAAGGAATCGTTTAGGACCCTGTATACCACTTATGTAAGACCAATCCTGGAGTATGCAGCTCCAGTCTGGAGTCGTTTCCTAGTTAAACACAAGACGAAGTTAGAGAAGATTCAGCGGTATGCCACCAGGCTCGTCCCGGAACTGAGAGGAATGAGCTAAGAGGAAAGGCTAAGGGAGCTGGACCTCACATCCCTGGAAAACAGAAGAGTAAGGGGAGACATGATAACCAGCTACAAAATTCTCAGGGGAATTGACAGGGTTATCTTGAGGTTATCTTGAGATGATTTCGGGGCTTTTTTAGTGTCCCCGCGGCCCGGTCCTCGACCAGGCCTCCACCCCCAGGAAGCAGCCCGTGACAGCTGACCAACACCCAGGTACCTATTTTACTGCTAGGTAACAGGGGCATAGGGTGAAAGAAACTCTGCCCATTGTTTCTCGCCGGCGCCCGGGATCGAACCCGGGACCACAGGGTCACAAGTCCAGTGTGCTGTCCGCTCGGCCGACCGCCTCCCTTAGTGGACAAAGACAAACTCTTTAGCACGGGTGGAACACGAACAAGGGGACACAGGTGGAAACTTAGTACCCAGATGAGTCACAAAGACGTTAGAAAGATTTTTTTCAGTGTCAGGGTAGTTAACAAATGGAATGCATTAAGTAGTGATGTGGTGGAGGCTGACTCCATACACAGTTTCAAATGTAGATATGATAGAGCCCAGTAGGCTCAGGAATCTGTACACCAGTTGATTGACAGTTGAGAGGCGGGACCAAAGAGCCAGAGCTCAACCCCCGTAAACACAACTAGGTGAGTACACACACTCGAAAGGCGGGATCCAAGAGTCAATGCTCGATCCTGCAGACACAAATAGGTGAGTACACACACACGTATCCCTCCGGGATCCTCAATTGTAAGTCGATAATGTAGCCACTGCACTACTCACCAAATGATGGCTGAGAGGCAGTTCCCAAGTGAACTTAGCAGGAAGAAAGTATATTTGAATGACAGAAGTCGAGAAGCCTTCTCACTCTCTCTCTCTCTCTCTCTCTCTCTCTCTCTCTCTCTCTCTCTCTCTCTCTCTCTCTCTCTCTCTCTCTGTTTTCTCTCTGTTCTCTTTGTTCTCTCTCTGTGTTCTCTCTCTCTGTGTTTTCTCTCTCTCTGTTTTCTCTCTCTCTGTGTTCTCTCTATCTCTGTGTTCTCTGTTCTCTCTCTCTCTCTCTGTTCTCTCTCTCTCTCTCTCTCTCCTCTCTCTCTCTCTCTCTCTCTCTCTCTCTCTCTCTCTCTCTCTCTCTCTCTCTCTCTCTCTCACTCTCTCTCTCTCTCTCTCTCTCACTCTCTCACTCTCTCTCACTCTCTCTCACTCTCTCTCACTCTTCTCTCACTCTCTCTCACTCTCTCTCTCTCTCTCTCTCTCTCTCTCTCTCTCTCTCTCTCTCTCTCTCTCTCTCTCTCTCTCTCTCTCTCTCTCTCTCTCTCTCTCTCTGTTCTTCTCTGTCTCTTCTCTCTCTCTCTCTCTCCGTTCATTTCTCTCTCGTCACTCTCTCTCTCTCTCTCTCTCACCTCTCTCTCTCTCTCCCACATCTCCTCTCTCTCTCTTCTCTCTCTCTCTCTCTCTCTCTCTCTCTCTCTCTCTCTCTCTGTGTCCACACACACCCACACACACACACACACCCACACCCACACCACACACACACACACACACACACACACACACACACACACACACACACACACACACACACACACACACACACACACACACACACACACACAAGTCAACCTCTCCTGCCCACTCACCAATCAAATTAGCGCTGGCAGCCACAAAATAAAAGGCGGTTGTTGCAAGTAGTGTTGTGTGGTTGAGAGGGGGCAGCCTTATGTGCGTCTTGACCACGTCCGTGACCTCTCTCCAGCAGTCCTCGGCGCCTGCACCCGCACCCATGCCCGTCACCAGGTAGGTCACGTCCTCAACTTTGAACCTGCCGATCGAGCCAACTGGAAGACAGGTGGTACGCAACATGTGATCGAGGTTCTGTCCCGCAGAGTCCCCCCACAACATTTCATTTTCTGTGGTAGAAGATGGCACCTCGTTTTCTATATTATTTTTTGCCTGGTAGGCTAAATCATTTATTAGTCCCGGTCGTGAGGTTGTCGAACTGTCAGTTCGTTCGCTTTGACTGGTTTTCTCCCCTAAGGTGCCACTTGAGTGATCATTGACGCTTGTGCTAGCGGTAGCCACGCTGGCATGGGGACCACTCAGCTTGTGTACCTGTGGTGCGCCTGACGAAGTAGCAGCGTCCGTCGAGGTCCCTTCAACGTTGGTTGCAGTGGCCGTGTCGGCGCCTTCCCTTGGAGGCTGCCTACTGCCACCGTCGGGAACACGGAACAACAGACCCTCTAAGGAGGTCCGGATTAATTTCTCAGTAGATTTTATTTCGCTTTGAACTTCGCTGTTCTTCTCAGGCTTAATAACTCTCTCGTTGGGAACGGTGAAGAGGAGGTCTGTGACTGAGGAGATGGCTTGTTTGGAGGGCTTGGCTTCACTATCCACAGCTCTTGCTTTATTAGTATTATCAAGGGACGATGGGTCGGTACCCAGTGGCAACTGTTTGTCTTCATTGAGCTCTGTGGCAGGTGCAGTCGAATTATTATTATTATTACTACTACTACTTCTACTAATACTACTACTACTACTATTAATAGCAGCGACGGTCCCGCCCCCGCTGCCTTTAACGCTGAAAAAAGAGGAACTTTTTCTGGCAGAAAATAGTCCACCATCGTGGCTAACAGCACTTTGTTTGTTTCTACTAGAAACTGTGGCATTATCACCATTAGATTCACTTTGACTACTTAATTTATAGAAACTTCTACTCTGAGCCACGTCACTGGCAGAACTTGTGTTACCAGAGTAAGTAATATTGTGATCAGCAGTTCTTGAAGTATTTCTATTATTCAATTTTATATTACTTTCGGGTCTAGGGGAACTGTCACTTTCAGAACTAGAAAAGCTATCACTGTCAGATGTCATGCTGCTGTTAGTCAATGCTCTAGATGTACTGTCGTCACTAGACCTATTTACATTATCGTAACTTAACCCGGAAATAGTTTTAGATTCGTCCTGAGCACCTAGTATAGAACCTCGGCGATTCTTTGGTTGTCTTCGCCAGCTGGTACTGGAGTGGACGGGAGTCCCAGTGCCCCTCGCGGGCTTCACGTTGTAACCCAGCCTGTTGTTGTAGCTGCTAGGCTTCCCGACCGTGTCTCCTCCACTCTTCTCTACATCACCACTCATTCCAGCCTTGTCTGGTGAAGCTCCTCTTCCTTCACCTTCCGTTTCCCCTTCTCTTCCCCTGTCACCATTCTTCTCCTCCGGACTATTGATGTCGTCCCTATCAGCACCATTATCTTTCTCCCCGTCGGCAGCTTCATTCGGTGTTTCCACTAGTCCCGTCCTTCTACTATTTTGTCTATCCTTTATCCTTCTCGCTCTCTCCCTTCTCCCTGCGAAGCGTTCTTGTTGAGGCACATCTTCGGTGTCTCCTCTTCTTCCTAGCCTCCCTCCTTTATTTACAGTAACATTTCTAAGTCTCTCGTCCCTCTTCTTCTCTTGCTCGTCCCTTGCCGATCCTATTGACTGAAGGATTGAGTCCACCACAGTCTTAACCTTCGCCAACGTCTCCTCCATCCACTTGCTGGTTATTCTCATCGGCGGAGTGTGTGGAGGCCTGGGAGGCGTCGGGGGCCCCTTGGGGGAGGCACTGGAGGTGCTTGATGGAGTAGAGGGAGAGGCGCTGCTAGAGCGTGTAGGCTGAGGCTGTGGGTCAGCATCGCTGGTGTTATTATTAAGCTCTGTGTATTCTTCCTCAGGTGGGATATCGGAGCGGTGGTGGGTGGTGGTGGGCGGGGGCAGGGTGGTGGGGCCAGCTTCCCCGGGGACTCCCGCGGGGCCGGGGCCCAGACGGATGAGGCTCCCACGCTGCAGCACCTTTACTCGCACGGGGTAAACACCCATAGGCACGCTGGAGAGAGAGAGAGAGAGAAATATATATGTGTATATATATATCTTCACATATATATATATATATATATATATATATATATATATATATATATATATATATATATATATATATATATATATATATATATATATATCGTACCTAGTATCCAGAACGCACTTCTCGGCCTACTATGCAAGGCCCGATTTGCCTAATAAGCCAAGTTTTCATGAATTAATGTTTTTTCGACTACCTAACCTAACTTTTTCGGCTACCTAACGTAACCTAACCTATAAAGATGGGTTAGGTTAGGTTAGGTAGGGTTGGTTAGGTTCCGTCATATATATACGTTAATTTTAACTCCAATAAAACAAATTGACCTCATACATAATGAAATGGGTAGCTTTATCATTTCATAAGAAAAAAATTAGAGAAAATATATTAATTCAGAAAACTGGCTTATTAGGCAAATCGGGCCTTGCATAGTAGGCTGAGAAGTGCGTTCTGGCTACTAGGTACGACATATATATATATATATATATATATATATATATATATATATATATATATATATATATATATATATATATATATATATATATATACTTTATCATTATTAAACATTCAAAGAAATAAAAATAAAAGTTGTTAATAAATGTGAAGATATGTAAATGGTGATGCTAATCCATGGGAAAGGATGTCTACTCTCACTAGTACAGTTTCTTATAGATGACCATTAATTTGCAAGTTTCAATAGGAGAAAAAGCTGTTTGTCTCAAAATGTTTAAATCGATCGTTCATCAAACTCCCTTCCTTCAGGAAGACTTTCGTTAAGCCAACACCTTGATTTTCTGAGTAATAAGATTCGCTGTTAAGCTCCTAGATTAACACTACCCCAATGTTTCAGCATTGACAAAAAAGGTTCTATTAGTGAAATATATCCTCACTAGGGCTCAACTTTGTACCCACGTGAATAGTATAGAAAGATAATCACTCTCCCCCCATACCCTTCAGAAGACATTAGTGAGACCTACCTGGAGGCGAAGAGCCAGTATTTATGTAAAGGCGAGCAGCGGTATGTGATGTTGGGAGCATCGAAGAGATTTCTCAGTTCTCGTCTTGTTCTATGGTCGCTCATCGCGGCGCCTGCCCCATTACCTATAAGCACTGTTTTGTTCTGGCGACGATTCTCCGGAGAGGTGTGCGGCGTCGTCCCTTGAGGTGCTTCTACCGGGGGATGGAGGAGGCTTTGGTTGGTGTATCCTTTCGAGTCATTGCAGCTGCTACCAGCCATCTCCGCCATCCATGGTAGGCTCTCAGTGTTCTGGCAGTGCTCTCCCGGTTTGCTAGATTCCTTTAATTTCTCCTTGGTTCCACGATGTTCCTTTATCAAGGCAAGGGCTTCCCGCTCTTTACACCTTAGATCCCCCTTCTTTTCTCGGGCAGATTTGCTGACATTTCTCCAGCCTCTTGCATTTCGAGGTATTTGCTGGGATTTGTCGCGAGATTCTCCCATCGTCTCACGCTTTCTCCTGTGCTTTAGTATCTGATTTAATCGTGTGTTAATGTCTTTCTTTTTTGCTAGTTTTTTATATTCCAATGATTCCTTAATGTCTTTCCTCGCTTTCAGCTTCTGCTTCCTTGTGTGGGGAGATGTTGAGAGGTGCCCAGTGAAATAGCGGTTCTGGAGGTTATCTGGCCATTCACTTGCCACAAGAAACGGATTAGCTAATTGTCTTCTGTTTCTTCGATCGCTTTTTCTTCGCGTGGCTGATTCTCTACCCTCGGCGGGGCCTGAAAACCGATGTGGTTCATAAAACTTCTTTTGTTGAGCCCTCGTGTTGCCCCTTGCCTTTCGTCCCTGTAATGTTTTCCAGCGTCGGTGAAGGCGACGGTAGTGACGCAGACGACGAGGATGCTGCCGAGTGTCTGACTTCATGGAATAATCTGAGAATTTGGCCAGTTTTTTATTTTCTTGAGCGTCGACGTCGACGATGATGACGTCATTTGCTGGTACCCCGAGTGACAAGGCTTGTCCTCCTCCTCTCACACTCCACTCTATTTGTAAAGAATTTTCAGCTTGGCGCTTTCTGTTTTTTCCCGCGAGGGATTTAGATTGATGTTCAGTCCCTTCGTGTTGTGGACCCTTCATTCCCGGCGGTAATCGCATCTGGCCATCTCCCAAGACAGGAGTTGCTCCACCTGATGGCTTCAGTGAATAATGATTGTTGTTTCTGTTTATTGTGTGAGAATGTTTGCGGGTGTTCGGGGACATCAGCCTTCCCTGTCCCCGCCTGGAAGCTCGGCGACGTGTAAACCCATCTGGCCTCTTCCTTGCTGCTGCTGCTGCTTCGCTGGCTCTTATTGTTGGCCTTACTTCCTGAGGAGTGTGAATGCGGGTCGAGTTGAGCACTTCTGGAGGTCGTGTGTCTTGAAGTCCCCATCCAGCAGGCCTTATATTTGCAATGTGCTGCTGTCTTTCTTGTCGTCTGTCATAGTGAGTTCTTCGTCCACTGCGATATCCATATTTTCTTCTTTTTCTTCTTAGGTTTCTGTCTTCATTCTTTTCATTACCTCTCTTCTCTTCGTTTATCGTCGTGTTGTCATTCAGGTCTTTCTTCCCAGTTTCCCTCACTGTCCCACCCTTAGAGGACCTCATTTCGTTTCTCTCTCCACGATTATCTCTCTCTTCAGTTCCTTTTAAATATGCAATGACGCTATCACCCTCCGTGGTGTGGTGTGAAGCGTGTGAGGTTCCTCCAATAATCACCACATCACCCTGACGTCCCCTCGGGGGTTCGGACGTCGTCGAACCCATTTCATGTGCCGTTGTTTTTCTCTCCTGAGATCTTCCTTTTCTGGGATCCTTCCTGTGGCTTCTTTCGCTGTCCTGCCAGGTGATGCTTGGAGATTCTGCAGCCCTTTGATTGTGATTGCTGTTGAGAGAATGTGTTCGTGCTGGGAGCGAGTCAGTGTGTAGCGTATTGACAAGACTAGTATGACGGTCTAGCTGGACTCCCTCATCCCATGTTGCAGTTGTAGTGCTCATCCCATGGGATCTGTGATTATCCTCTGGTGATCCTCGCCGTGCTTCCCGTGCAGCTGCAGTCAACGCCTCTCGGGAGGAAGGAGGAGGAGACGTGGCACGTGGAGTTGCTGAAGGATGTCTGGGTGAATTGGTATTATTATTATTCGTTAAACCGATCTCGGGTGGAGTTGTTGCCCCAGTGCCTATGTAGGGATCCGTTACTTTTTTTCTTCTCTCTGGTTTCTTTTGGTTTATTTTTTTATGTCCTTTTCTCTGTCGCCTTCTTTGCACTTTTATTCGTGACGCGTTCGCACGAGGAAGAGGTCTCCATCCTCGAGGGTGTGAGTGACTTTCTCTGGTGCTGGAGCCAATGGAATCGTCGGCTTCCTTCACGGCCCATGTGTCTTGGGCTACATCCAGAGATCCCTGTGTCCACGGCTGCCCTTGTCTAATCCCCTTGGATATCCCTGGAGAGCCGTGCAGGCTGGACGAGCTTCCTTTTAACCTTTCGGGTGTTTCTTCTTGTCTGTCCTTCCCTGAATATTGTTCTTCCTGTTTGCGGCTTTTATTTACAACAGCTTTTCCAGGTGGTTCTTCTTGTTCCCCTTTATCTGCCTTTACTTCTCGGCCTTCCTGGTCCCTTCCTGCTCCTGGTAAGCGAGGCGTTAATCCTGAGATGGTCTCATCCCCTGTCACTGCCTGAGGACTCTCCGAGTCTCTCCCACTTTGCCTATTCTCTTCTTTTATCCTCTGTTCCCCTCTTCTTCGACTGCTCATGTTTTGCCGCACACCAGCAGAAGAATTACTTAAATTATCTCGACTATTAAGTCCATTATATATTTGATATCTTACCTCGCTAGTCTGAAGGTTCTCGTGGATATCTTGGATTTCTGCGCCACTTTGGTGACGGTGAGGATGATGCTCTTGGACGCGAAGACTTGATGTACTCAAGTGTGTCGCACTTGATGTACTCAAGTGTGTCGCACTCGGAGGAGCTGGCGTTGAGGAGACTCTTCTAGAGTCGCTCTCATCTGTTTTATCGTTTTGGTTAGCCTCCTGCGCTTCTTCCTGTCCTCTCTCCTCCTCCTCCTCCTTGCGTCCTCTCTCCACCACCTCCTGTCCTCTCCTCATCATCACCATCTCCCTCACCTGCCCCTCACCTGCCACTCTAACACTCCTCGTCCCTCCCCGTGCTGCACTCACCCCATTATCTGCCTCACTCTTCACGCCATCATTCCCCTTCCCTCGTCCGTGTTGCCTCTTCTCTTGTTTATCCTCGCCCCCTCTCTTATCACCCGGAGGCGTCCCTCTACCGGACGTGTCACTCCAGTTATCATTATCACTACGGTATTTTTGCGGTGAATTATTTACATTCTTTTTTATATCGCCGTTTAGTTCGTGTCCGTCACCGGGCTTCAGCCTTCCACCGCCGCCTTCTCTGTCTCCTTGTTTCAGTCTCTCTTGTCTTCTCTTTTCTATAGCTCTTCTTATGTGTTCTGGCGGGCCTGGCAGAGGTATAGTCACCTGGAGAGTCCCGCCCCCCAGCTCTGCTGTAGCCAGTGGCAAGCTCTTATTCTGATACAAGCGACCTGATTGGATGAAACAAAGAAGTAAATCACAAATTAATTTGTTAGAACTCTTCTAATTGGCAGAAACACATTAAAGTTATATGTCGAAATAATTCAACAAAAGCTTTAAATGGAAGAGCCATGATAGTCGGAGCTGATGTAAAGTGGCGTTGCTGTCACGTTACTTTGACGTTACTGTGATGCTTGTGTGACGTTACTGTGATGATTGTGACATTACTGTGATGATTCTGTGACGTTACTGTGATGCTTGTGTGACGTTACTGTGATGATTCTGTGACGTTACTGTGATGATTCTGTGATGTTACTGTGATGATTCTGTGACGTTACTGTGATGATTGTGACATTACTGTGATGATTCTGTGACGTTACTGTGATGCTTGTGTGACGTTACTGTGATGATTGTGACATTACTGTGATGATTCTGTGACGTTTATGTGATGATTCTGTGACGTTTATGTGATGATTCTGTGACGTTACTGTGATGATTCTGTGACGTTACTGTGATGATTCTGTGACGTTACTGTGATGATTCTGTGACGTTTATGTGATGATTCTGTGACGTTTCTGTGATGATTCTGTGACGTTACTGTGATGATTCTGTGACGTTACTGTGATGCTCGTGTGACGTTACTCTGATGATTGTGACGTTACTGTGATGATTCTGTGACGTTACTGTGATGATTCTGTGACGTTACTGTGATGATTCTGTGACGTTACTGTGATGATTCTGTGACGTTACTGTGATGATTCTGTGACGTTTATGTGATGATTCTGTGACGTTACTGTGATGATTCTGTGACGTTACTGTGATGATTCTGTGACGTTACTGTGATGATTCTGTGACGTTACTGTGATGATTCTGTGACGTTACTGTGATGATTCTGTGACGTTACTGTGATGATTCTGTGACGTTACTGTGATGATTCTGTGACGTTACTGTGATGATTCTGTGACGTTACTGTGATGATTCTGTGACGTTACTGTGATGATTCTGTGACGTTACTGTGATGATTCTGTGACGTTACTGTGATGATTCTGTGACGTTACTGTGATGATTCTGTGACGTTACTGTGATGATTCTGTGACGTTACTGTGATGATTCTGTGACGTTACTGTGATGATTCTGTGACGTTACTGTGATGATTCTGTGACGTTACTGTGATGATTCTGTGACGTTACTGTGATGATTCTGTGACGTTACTGTGATGATTCTGTGACGTTACTGTGATGATTCTGTGACGTTACTGTGATGATTCTGTGACGTTACTGTGATGATTCTGTGACGTTTATGTGATGATTCTGTGACGTTACTGTGATGATTCTGTGACGTTAATGTGATGATTCTGTGACGTTTATGTGATGATTCTGTGACGTTACTGTGATGATTCTGTGACGTTACTGTGATGATTCTGTGACGTTACTGTGATGATTCTGTGACGTTACTGTGATGATTCTGTGACGTTTATGTGATGATTCTGTGACGTTACTGTGATGATTCTGTGACGTTACTGTGATGATTCTGTAACGTTACTGTGATGATTCTGTGACGTTACTGTGATGATTCTGTGACGTTACTGTGATGATTCTGTGACGTTTATGTGATGATTCTGTGACGTTACTGTGATGATTCTGTGACGTTACTGTGATGCTTGTGTGACGTTACTGTCATGATTCTGTGACGTTACTGTGATGATTCTGTGACGTTTAAGTGAGGATTCTGTGACGTTACTGTGATGATTCTGTGACGTTAATGTGATGATTTTGTGACGTTTAAGTGAGGATTCTGTGATGATTCTGTGACGTTACTGTAATGCTTGTGTGACGTTACGCTGATGATTCTGTGACGTTTAAGTGATGTTTCTGTGATGATTCTGTGACGTTTAAGTGATGATTCTGTGACGTTACTTCGAGGTTTCTGTGACAGAACAATACAGAACAGCATACAGTAGGGAACAACATCATTCAGTAGGGAACGACAGCTGCAAATCTGAACGAAGTTGGCGACGTTTGAAGTTCAATGTTTATTACCTAAGATTTTAAAGAAAGTCTTGCGAAGGACTGTTAGGGGTACTAGGATCTGCAGGTCGCTAACACAAATAGACTCATAATCACCACAAGATCCAGGACTCTGGTTTGGCTGGAAGATGGTCCAGTGAGTTAGTCTACCCCCCCCCCATAATGCACAACAATTAATTTAAAGGCAGGTAAGAGAAGACCAGACGAACACTGTAGCCTGAAGGGGGAGACCAGAGGAACACAGTGAAGGGGGAGACCAGAGGAACACAGTGAAGGGGGAGACCAGAGGAACACAGTGAAGGGGAGACCAGAGGAACACAGTGAAGAGACCAGAGGAACACAGTGAAGGGGGAGACCAGAGGAACACAGTGAAGGGGGAGACCAGAGGAACACAGTGAAGGGAAGACCAGAGGAACACAGTGAAGGGTAGACCAGAGGAACACAGTGAAGGGGAGACCAGAGGAACACAGTGAAGGGGAGACCAGAGGAACACAGTGAAGGGGAGACCAGAGGAACACAGTGAAGGGGAGACCAGAGGAACACAGTGAAGGGGGAGACCAGAGGAACACAGTGAAGGGGAGACCAGAGGAACACAGTGAAGGGGGAGACCAGAGGAACACAGTGAAGGGGGAGACCAGAGGAACACAGTGAAGGGGGAGACCAGAGGAACACAGTGAAGTGGGGGAGACCAGAGGAACACAGTGAAGGGTAGACCAGAGGAACACAGTGAAGGGGGAGACCAGAGGAACACAGTGAAGGGGAAGACCAGAGGAACACAGTGAAGGGTAGACCAGAGGAACACAGTGAAGGGGGAGACCAGAGGAACACAGTGAAGGGAGACCAGAGGAACACAGTGAAGGGGAGACCAGAGGAACACAGTGAAGGGGAGACCAGAGGAACACAGTGAAGGGGGAGACCAGAGGAACACAGTGAAGGGGGAGACCAGAGGAACACAGTGAAGGGGGAGACCAGAGGAACACAGTGAAGGGGGAGACCAGAGGAACACAGTGAAGGGTAGACCAGAGGAACACAGTGAAGGGGAGACCAGAGGAACACAGTGAAGGGGGAGACCAGAGGAACACAGTGAAGGGTAGACCAGAGGAACACAGTGAAGGGGAGACCAGAGGAACACAGTGAAGGGGAGACCAGAGGAACACAGTGAAGGGGGAGACCAGAGGAACACAGTGAAGGGGAGACCAGAGGAACACAGTGAAGGGGAGACCAGAGGAACACAGTGAAGGGGAGACCAGAGGAACACAGTGAAGGAGAGACCAGAGGAACACAGTGAAGGGGAGACCAGAGGAACACAGTGAAGGGGGAGACCAGAGGAACACAGTGAAGGGGGGAGACCAGAGGAACACAGTGAAGGGGAGACCAGAGGAACACAGTGAAGGAGAGACCAGAGGAACACAGTGAAGGAGAGACCAGAGGAACACAGTGAAGGGGAGACCAGAGGAACACAGTGAAGGGGAGACCAGAGGAACACAGTGAAGGGTAGACCAGAGGAACACAGTGAAGGGGAGACCAGAGGAACACAGTGAAGGGTAGACCAGAGGAACACAGTGAAGGGGAGACCAGAGGAACACAGTGAAGGGGAGACCAGAGGAACACAGTGAAGGGGAGACCAGAGGAACACAGTGAAGGGGAGACCAGAGGAACACAGTGAAGGGGAGACCAGAGGAACACAGTGAAGGGGAGACCAGAGGAACACAGTGAAGGGGAGACCAGAGGAACACAGTGAAGGGGAGACCAGAGGAACACAGTGAAGGGGAGACCAGAGGAACACAGTGAAGGGTAGACCAGAGGAACACAGTGAAGGGGAGACCAGAGGAACACAGTGAAGGGGAGACCAGAGGAACACAGTGAAGGGGAGACCAGAGGAACACAGTGAAGGAGAGACCAGAGGAACACAGTGAAGGGGAGACCAGAGGAACACAGTGAAGGGGGAGACCAGAGGAACACAGTGAAGGGAAGACCAGAGGAACACAGTAAAGGGTAGACCAGAGGAACACAGTGAAGGGGAGACCAGAGGAACACAGTGAAGGGTAGACCAGAGGAACACAGTGAAGGGGAGACCAGAGGAACACAGTGAAGGGTAGACCAGAGGAACACAGTGAAGGGAAGACCAGAGGAACACAGTAAAGGGTAGACCAGAGGAACACAGTGAAGGGGAGACCAGAGGAACACAGTGAAGGGTAGACCAGAGGAACACAGTGAAGGGGAGACCAGAGGAACACAGTGAAGGGTAGACCAGAGGAACACAGTGAAGGGTAGACCAGAGGAACACAGTGAAGGGGAGACCAGAGGAACACAGTGAAGGGGGAGACCAGAGGAACACAGTGAAGGGGAGACCAGAGGAACAAAGTGAAGGGAAGACCAGAGGAACACAGTGAAGGGGAGACCAGAGGAACACAGTGAAGGGGAGACCAGAGGAACAAAGTGAAGGGGGAGACCAGGAGAACACAGTGAAGGGTAGACCAGAGGAACACAGTGAAGGGGAGACCAGGAGAACACAGTGAAGGGTAGACCAGAGGAACAGTTCAGCCCTAAAGAAGAACAACACATATCTTCTGAAGAGGAAAGAACCTCAGCGTGAACATCCCGCCAACACTATTCCTGGCGGCACATATGAACACACTAACAATGGCGCCATACATAAAGCTGACAACCCTAAAGAAAGTCGTCAGAGTCCTGGACTAGGAATCTTCCAAAACAATAAGGAATAGCTACCAGAGTGCAGACAAGAGTGTGCAGCACCAGCATGGAATCCCTGACTGATAAAATACAAATAGAAACTTGAAAAGCTCAAGAGGTGTTCCAGCAAATCTGGTACCGGAAATAAGAGAGGCAAACATAAGCCCCTTATAAGCGACTATAAGAGAATAAGATTATACACTCACATAACTTGAAATTAAGACAGGCAAAGGAGACGTGATTGCGACATGCATGATACTCGACATACCTTAAAATAAGGCAAGGTTATAAACGGGAGTGTTGGATTTGACTGCATCACACGGATAGCATCTAAAGAAGGATGGGATCCAGGAACTAAAGCCCGATTCCCAGAAACTCACACGAAAATAAAAGCAGCATAAGACACACACTTAAACAGTGGGGCGTAGACGCGAACGCCGTACATAATATTAAAATTACATGTGATATGGAAATAGGTCAGGAGTCATTGCATTAGACAACCAACGGCTAAAAACGCAGGGACCAAAACGTACAGCTTGATCATGCAAGCACGAGTAGGTGAGCACACACACACACACACACACACACAGTCACCAGTGGAGTCCCACAGGGCTCTGTACTCGGTCCTATCTTGTTTCTGATATATGTAAATGATCTCCCGGAGGGTATCGATTCATTTCTCTCAATGTTTGCGGACGATGCTAAAATTATGAGAAGGATTAAAACAGAAGAGGACTGTTTGAGGCTTCAAGAAGACCTAGACAAGCTGAAGGAATGGTCGAACAAATGGTTGTTAGAGTTTAAACCAACCAAATGTAATGTAATGAAGATAGGTGTAGGGAGCAGGAGGCCAGATACAAGGTATCATCTGGGAGAGGAAATTCTTCAGGAGTCAGAGAAGGAAAAAGACTTGGGGGTTGATATCACGCCAGACCTGTCTCCTGCAGCACATATCAAGCGGATAACATCAGCGGCATATGCCAGGCTGGCCAGCATACGAACGGCATTCAGAAACTTGTGTAAAGAATCATTCAGAACTTTGTATACCACATATGTCAGGCCAATCCTGGAGTATGCAGCCCCAGCATGGAGTCCATATCTAGTCAAGGATAAGACTAAACTGGAAAAGGTTCAAAGGTTTGCCACCAGACTAGTACCCGAGCTGAGAGGTATGAGCTACGAGGAGAGACTACGGGAATTAAACCTCACTTCGCTGGAAGACAGAAGAGTTAGGGGGGGACATGATCACCACATTCAAGATTCTGAAGGGAATTGATAGGGTAGATAAAGACAGTCTATTTAACACAAGGGGAACACGCACAAGGGGACACAGGTGGAAACTGAGTGCCGAAATGAGCCACAGAGATATTAGAAAGAACTTTTTTAGTGTCAGAGTGGTTGACAAATGGAATGCATTATGGGGTGATGTGGTGGAGGCTGACTCCATACACAGTTTCAAATGTAGATATGATAGAGCCCAATAGGCTCATGAATCTGTACACCTGTTGATTGACGGTTGAGAGGCGGGACCAAAGAGCCAGAGCTCAACCCCCGCAAACACAACTAGGTGAGTACACACACACACACACACACACCACACACACACACACACACACACACACACACACACACACACACACACACACACACACACACACACATGAATGAGTATAGGAATGAGTACGTCAGGGTGAGAAGAGAAGCAGAGAAAAATTATGAAAATGATATAGCAAACAAAGCCAAGACCGAACCAAAGCTACTCCACAGTCACATCAGAAGGAAAACAACAGTGAAAGAACAGGTATTGAAACTTAGAACAGGCGAGGACAGGTATACAGAGAATGACAAAGAGGTGTGTGAAGAACTCAACAAGAGGTTCCAGGAGGTCTTCACAATAGAACAAGGTGAGGTCACTGTGCTAGGAGAAAGGGAAGTAAACCAGGCGGCCTTGGAAGGGTTCGAAATTACGAGTGAGGATGTCAACACCTGCTGGATCTGAATGTTAGAAAGGCTGTTGGTCCAGACGGGATCTCACCGTGGGTACTGAAAGAGTATGCAGAGGTACTTTGCTGGCCACTCTCCATAGTGTATAGTAGGTCACTGGACACGGGAGACCTACCAGAAATATGGAAGACGGCGAATGTGGTTCCAATATACAAAAAGGGCGACAGGCAAGAGGCACTGAACTACAGGTCAGTGTCCTTGACTTGTATACCATGCAAGGTGATGGAGAAGATCGTGAAAAACCTAGTAACACATCTGGAGAGAAGGGACTTCGTGACAAATCGCCAACATGAATTCAGGGAAGGTAAATCTTGCCTGACTGGCTTAATGGAACTCTACGACCAGGTGACAAAGAGTAAGCAAGAAAGAGAAGGCTGGGTTGACTGCATTTTCTTGGATTGTCGGAAAGCCTTTGACACAGTACCGCATAAGAGGCTGGTACATAAGCTGGAGAGACAGGCAGGTGTAGCTGGTAAGGTGCTCCAGTGGATAAGGGACTACCTAAGCAATAGGAAGCAGAGAGTTACGGTGAGGGGTGAGACCTCGGATTGGCGTGAAGTCACCAGTGGAGTCCCACGGGGCTCTATACTCGGTCCTATCTTGTTTCTGATATATGTAAATGATCTCCCGGAGGGTATAGATTCATTTCTCTCAATGTTTGCTGACGATGCCAAAATTATGAGAAGGATTAAGACAGAGGAGGACTGCTTGAGGCTTCAAGAAGACCTAGACAAGCTGACGGAATGGTCGAACAAATGGTTGTTAGAGTTTAACCCTAGCAAATGTAATGTAATGAAGATAGGCGTAGAGAGCAGGAGGCCAGATACTAAGTATCATCTGGGAGATGAAATTCTTCATGAGTCAGAGAGAGAAAAAGACTTGGGGGTTGACATCACGCCAGACCTGTCCCCTGCAGCCCATATCAAAAGGATAACATCCGCAGGATATGCCAGGCTGGCCAACATAAGAACGACATTCAGAACTTGTGAAGGGAATCATTCAGAACTTTGTATACCACATATGTCAGGCCAATCCTGGAGTATGCAGCCCCAGCATGGAGTCCATATCTAGTCAAGGATAAGAGTAAACCTGGAAAAGGTTCAAAGGTTTGCCACCAGACTAGTACCCGAGCTGAGAGGTATGAGCTACGAGGAGAGACTACGGGAATTAAACCTCACTTCGCTGGAAGACAGAAGAGTTAGGGGGACATGATCACCACATTCAAGGTTCTCAAGGAAATTGATAGGGTAGATAAAGACAGGCTATTTAACACAAGGGGCACAGGAGTAAACTGAATGCCCAAATGAGCCACTGAGATATTGGAAAGAACTTTTTTAGTGTCAGAGTGGTTGACAAATGAAATGCATTAGGAAGTGATGTGGTGGAGGCTGACTCCATACACAGTTTCAAGTGTAGATATGATAGAGCCCAATAGGCTCAGGAACCTGTACACCTGTTGATTGACGGTTGAGAGGCGGGACCAAAGAGCCAGAGCTCAACCCCCGCAAGCACAATTTGGTGAGTACAGTTGTCACACACACAGGCGGGCCACACACACACACACAACACACACACACACACACACACACACACACACACACACACACACACACACACACACACACATGACATGTTTACAGGCGTAGAGTCCTACATGTCGATGTTTGCGGATGACGCAAAGTTGATGAGAAGAGTTGTGACAGATGAGGATTGTAGGATCCTCCAAGAGGACCTGAACAGGTTGCAGAGATGGTCAGAGAAATGGCTTCTGGAATTCAACACGAGCAAATGTAAAGTTATGGAAATGGGACTAGGAGATAGGAGACCAAAGGGACAGTACACAGTGAAGGGGAACAGCCTACCTGTGACGACGCGAGAAAGGAACCAGGTAGGCTCAGGAACCTGTACACCAGATGATTACCCGTTGAGAGGCGGGACCAAAGAGCCGAAGCTCCACCCCCGCAAGCGCCACTAACAGCACACACACGGCCACTCACCAGTAAGGAAGTTCGCCGCCAGCCACAGGTCAGCCGCCTCGTCGTGACCCGCCATGATGGTGACGTGTTCTCTCCTCACCATGAACGGCGTCCGCGTCACTATTTTCCGGGCCTGGAGCAGAGGGGGGGGGGGGGGGGAAAGAGTGTGCCGGGGAGGCGTGAGAGAGCCCCAGAGTGCCAGAGTGCCAGAGTCGTGGAAGAGCCAGAGAGTGTCGTGAGGAAGCCAGATAGTGCCATAAAATGTTATGAGATTTTGTCGTGATATTCACGAGAGAGCCAGATAGTGTCAGTGTCATAAGAGCCAGAATGTGGCGCAGAGTCATAGAGAGAACCAGAGAGTGAGTGTCACGAGAGAGCCAGAAAATACCAAAGTCATGAAGGAGCCAGATAGTATCATCAGACATCCAGAGATAGCCAGAAAGTGTCAGAGTGCCAGAAGGTGTAACGAGAGAATCAGAGCGTGCAAAGAGAGTCAGTGAGTGAGAGCCATGTGGAAGACAGAGTCTCAGAGACGGAGCAAACGCGTGTTAAAATAAAATAAGAAATAACAGGCGAAAGGACAGCGAGTGCCAGATTTAACAAGGTAGAGACAGGATGCCCAGACGTGCCGTAATGAGCGAGAGAGAGAGAGAGAGAGAGAGAGAGAGAGAGAGAGAGAGAGAGAGAGAGAGAGAGAGAGAGAGAGAGAGACAGACAGAGAGAGAAAGAGAGAGATACAGATTAAATTTATAATCAACATATGTAATTATATTACACATAAATTACAAAGCCCTGCTTTAATGTCCCCCAAAACACTACTATTCCCAGTGTTCCTTAACAAGCAAAGAAAAGTATAATTACTACAACACTTTTAATGACTAACAGCAGAAAATAGCACTTATTAAAACCCTTTACTCTTTATTACATCACTGTAAATAATTAACTGTGTTAGTAATTTACAAGAGACTCTGAAAGCAGATGCAGTCAGGCGTGGAGGCGTCAGAGAGGCACACGGCTTAATGTAAATATATCCCAGTTAGGTCCTGTTTCCTGCAGAAAGTTAAGAGCATAAATGTAAGAATGATGGGCGCACGCTCACACACACACACACACACACACACACACACACACACACACACACACACACACACACACACACACACACACACACACACACACACACACACACACACACACGCACACACACATGCAAGATGATGGAGAAGATCGTAAGAAAAAACCTATTAACACATCTGGAGAGAAGGAACTTCGTGACTTCATAAGTCACGAAAGCCAAAGAGGTAAGGAGGCGGGACCAAATAGCCAAAGCTCAACCCCCGCAAGCACATCACGATAGTAAGGATGCTCCACAAGGGAACGATTGTAAGGATGCTCCACAGGACACAAAACATGCTCCACAAGACGATTGTAAGGAACGATTTGTAAAGGGAACGATTGTAAGGATGCTCCACAAGACAGGATGGACGTCCACAAGGGAACGTATGCTCCACAAGGGAAATAGGAGCAAGGGAACAGAGGGAACGATAGAGTGACCAAATGCTCCACAAGGGAACGATTGTAAGGATGCTCACGATTGTAAAGAGACATAAGAGAACACTGAATGAAGAAGAATTAAATATAGTAGAGGAACTAGCAAGTCATAAAGAGACATAAGAGAACACGACATATCCCGGGGGAGAGAGAGTAAGAAGAGACCGCAAACACGCGCAAGGAGCTAAAGGGAGATCAAGACTGCGATCGTAATGAAATCAGGTAATGAAATGCAAGCGATGAGTCACAATAACGTGGCTGAAGTATGTTGACCAGACCACATACTAGAAGTTGAAGGGACGACGACGTTTCGGTCCGTCCTGGACCATTCTCAAGTCGATTGAGAATGGTCGAGTCGAGATCGACTTGAGAATGGTCCAAGACGGATCGAAACGTCGTCGTCCCTTCAACTTCTAGTGTGTGGTCTGGTCAACAATGAAATGCAACATACAGGAAACGAAGAGGCAAAAGTCCATCATGATTTACAAGCTTCCAGAGGTGACGGGAGAGAGGCGAGAGACGACAGACAGAGACGGGACAGAAATAGCTGAGATCCTTCACATATTATGAGGGAGGTGAGGGCAGCCAATCCGGTGGAAAGTTTATGAACCAATCGGGTAGTTTCAGGAAGAATTTTTCAGGGGCCAGTGAAGGTCATTTTGAAGCCAATGCCCGATTGAAGGTCATCTCTTAATCAGTGCTCCAATGATGGTCACCTTGGCACCAGTGCCTCATTAAAGGTCATCTTGGCACCAGTGCCTCATTAAAGGTCATCTTGGCACCAGTGCCCCATTAAAGGTCATCTTGGCACCAGTGCCCCATTAAAGGTCATCTTGGCACCAGTGCCCCATTAAAGGTCATCTTGGCACCAGTGCCTCATTAAAGGTCATCTTGGCACCAGTGCCTCATTAAAGGTCATCTTGGCACCAGTGCCCCATTAAAGGTCATCTTGGCACCAGTGCCCCATTAAAGGTCATCTTGGCACCAGTGCCTCATTAAAGGTCATCTTGGCACCAGTGCCCCATTAAAGGTCATCTTGGCACCAGATCATCTTGGCACCAGTGCCCCATTAAAGGTCATCTTGGCACCAGTGCCCCATTAAAGGTCATCTTGGCACCAGTGCCCCATTAAAGGTCATTAAAGGTCATCTTGGCACCACCATCTTGGCACCAGTGCCTCATTAAAGGTCATCTTGGCACCAGTGCCTCATTAAAGGTCATCTTGGCACCAGTGCCCCATTAAAGGTCATCTTGGCACCAGTGCCCCATTAAAGGTCATCTTGGCACCAGTGCCCCATTAAAGGTCATCTTGGCACCAGTGCCCCATTAAAGGTCATCTTGGCACCAGTGCCTCATTAAAGGTCATCTTGGCACCAGTGCCTCATTAAAGGTCATCTTGGCACCAGTGCCCCATTAAAGTTGCTCTCTAGGAAGCATACAACTACTCAAAATGTCATGGGAAATTTTTTTATTTTATTAGAGAAATTGGTAGTGGTGGTGGTGTAGAGGAACACAGGGCTTGCATAAATAGCATCTGGACTATGGAGCGGAAGAAGCAATCACCAGTCTAAGAGCAAAATGACAGATTGTGGGAAACTGTAATTATTATCATAACCAAGCAGACTAGAAAACATGGTACGCAGGAGGAGAGGAGAGGAGGAAGGAAGCTGATAAAAGGACCAGAGTCACATGTTAGGAAGCAAACACGATTGGGACCAATACGGGCTCACCATAGCCCGTGCTACTTGGAACTTTTTGTTCCGGGTAGCGAATCTTTAACAACAACAACATTGGGACCAGTGGCCACTCCGTATTAGTCTTTGAATATTATGTGGCAATGCAAATTGCGGAAGGAGGCAGATAAGTGTTGAGGGGAATGCTAGATTAGCCTAGAGTAGAAATTGAATAGAATAGGAACTTATGCAATAGAACCGCCTGGAGGAGATACTTACAACCGTTGTAATAGCCAGTCTTGAGCATGCATGACTCGCTATTTGAAACACACACACACAAAAACTATAAATTATCGTGACATATGCACAAGGAATCGCTGCTGAACAAAAAAGTATCTGTTATGGGAAAATGCTGGAGAGGGGGGGGGGGGAATTAACCTTACTACAATGGATTGAAGAAGGAGCAGGAGGGTCACGACAACGATATGTAAGATTTTAAGGAGATTAATGAAGTAGTCTAAGAATTAATGTTAAAGAAACTTCACATCGACATGACAGTGAAATGAACAAGAGACATGTCACAGAGATGACAGGGAAAACTTCTTTGAAGTAAGATTTGGAAATAAATGAGGGAGGTAAATATAACATGACATTTAAAATTGACTAACTACACACTTCTAATTTAAAGACAAGAACAATTAGATGGTAGAATCATTACATGCAAAGATTAATAGGTTGTCCGGCGGGACTGTGGAATTGATACTCAACCCAGGAAGCACATTTAGGTGAGTGCATGTAGGGTGAGCACGTCTAGGTGAGTAGGTCTTGATAAATACACCTAGATTAATACACTAAGGGTGAGTGCATCTAGGCTGAGTACGTCGAGGTGAGTACATATAGATGCGTAAATGTAGTGCTGAAGGAGATAAATTTAAATTAGAGAACCAAATCAGAGAAGCGAGTATCAACGACCTTAAGGAAAGGGTTAAGGAAGTAGCAGAGGAAGGTAAACATGCAAAGGATGCAACTAGAGAAACAGCAGAAAGATCACAAGAAGCGGAGGATGTGACGGAACTATGGGGTCAAGAGCCACCAAGGACCTGTGCAGAAGTAGCCAAGAGGTCAGAGGCAATAAGGCACATAATGAAAACAACAGTGATAGCAGATGTCAGATAAAACGTCAACAATAAGGCACATAATAAAAACAACAGTGATAGCAGATGTCAGATAAAACGTCAACAATAAGGCACATAATAAAAACAACAGTGATAGCAGATGTCAGATAAAACGTCAACAAACAACAAATGGAAAAAGATCGATCAGTTATCCTAAACAACCTGACAACCAGAGGGAGCTACAAGGCAGGAGGGAGAAAAAATGAAGACTAGGAAAACTTTAAATAAAGTCAGCCTACTGATACAACGACACTGGAGCTTTGAGGAGGTTATCTTGAGGTTATTTTGAGATGATTTCGGGGCTTAGCGTCCCCACGACCCGGTCCTCGATCAGGCTTCCTTTTTGTTATACACCCACAGGAAACAGTCCGTAGCAACTGTCTAACCCTCAGGTACCTATTTACTGCTAGGTAACAGGGGCATCAGGGAAAAAAGAAACATTTTGCCCATTTGTCTCCGCCTCCACCGGGGATTGAACCCGGAACCTCAGGATTACGAACCCGGAGCGCTGTCCACCCAGCTGTCAGGCGAGGATGAAGAGATTCTGGAGGTAATCAACCAGAAGGATGTTTTAATAGATATGATAACAGTGATGACCATGAAGATAGCGGTAGGTGTTACTTACATCCCTCCAAATGCCAGGAGCAAGAGAGAGAATAGAGAACAGGGAGAACAGGGGGACTACAGGAAGGTTAGGGATTATCTGCAGAAGGTTCAGTGGGAGACTGCTATATGTTCTTCCCGGCTCGGTGTCTTCTTTGGATAATTACCTACTCAATGGGAGGCTGAAAATGGAAGGAAAGTCAACAAATGAGATGATAGAACTCATACCACAGAAATGCAAAGAAGCAAAAGAAAAGTTCATATCTCTCAGAGGGAAGTGGAGGAAAGGACTTGGAATATGACAAAGAAGTGTGTGATGAGCTCAGCAAGAGGTTCCAGGAGGTCTACAAACTAGAACCAGATTGGTGTCCAAGGAGGGGTGACAACAGATTACTAGAAACAACACTAAACAGAATTGAAGTTTATGTAGAAGAGGTAAACAAAAATACATGGAGGAACTGGATGTAGCAAAAACAGTAGGACTAGACCAGATGTTAAATATGGAAACTGCAGGGATCTTGTGTTACCCATTAACTATAGTGTTTTAACATTACACCAGAGAAAAGAGAGCTACTGGAAATCTGGAAAAAGTCATATGCGGTTCCAATATTCAAGAAAGTGAACAGACATGAATCACTGATTTATAGAAAATTGTAATTATCATGCATTCTATGCAAGATGCCCCCACAGAAATTATTGTAGAACATTGGGGGGAGTAAATTTTATAGCAGATACACAGTATGACTTCTGAAGGAAAATCATGCTTAACAAACTTGACTGAATTCTATGACAGGGTCACCATAATAAGATAAGACAAGGAAGGATGGGTAGATTACATCATCCTAGACTGCCAAAAAACTTTTGATACAGTTCCTCACAAAAGACTAATACACAAGATGGAGAGACAAGCTGGGGTAACAGGAAAGGCACTAAACTGGGTATGGGAATACTTGATGGATAGGAAACAAAGGGTCATAATCAGAGAGGATGTGTCATGCTGGAGAGGAGTCGAAAGTGTTGTTCCACAGGGCTCTGTCATAGGACCATTGCTGTTTTTATTTTTTGTAAATGACCTCGCAGAGGGAGTGAGCTCATACATGTTGATGTTTGCAGTTGATGGAAAGTTAATAAGGAGAGTAAGAACTGAAAAGGGCTGTAAGGTACTACAAGAAGACCCCGACAAACTTCAGGAGTGGACAGATGAAGGGCTGCTGGAGTTCAATCCAAATAAGTGCAAAGTTATGAAATGAACACTACCACCACACACTCCTGTGAACACTACCACCACACACTCCTGTGAACACTACCACCACACACTCCTGTGAACACTACCACCACACGCTCCTGTGAACACTACCACCACACTCTCCTGTGAACACTACCACCACACGCTCCTGTGAACACTACCACCACATGCTCCCGTGAACACTACCACCACACGCTCCTGTGAACACTACCACCACACGCTCCTGTGAACACTACCACCACACACTCCTGTGAACACTACCACCACACGCTCCTGTGAACACTACCACCACACTCTCCTGTGAACACTACCACCACACGCTCCTGTGAACACTACCACCACACGCTCCTGTGAACACTACCACCACACGCTCCTGTGAACACTACCACCACACACTCCTGTGAACACTACCACCACACGCTCCTGTGAACACTACCACCACACACTCCTGTGAACACTACCACCACACACTCCTGTGAACACTACCACCACACTCTCCTGTGAACACTACCACCACACGCTCCTGTGAACACTACCACCACCACACGCTCCTGTGAACACTACCACCACACACTCCTGTGAACACTACCACCACACTCTCCTGTGAACACTACCACCACACGCTCCTGTGAACACTACCACCACATGCACCTGTGAACACTACCACCACACGCTCCTGTGAACACTACCACCACACGCTCCTGTGAACACTACCACCACACACTCCTGTGAACACTACCACCACACACTCCTGTGAACACTACCACCACACGCTCCTGTGAACACTACCACCACACGCTCCTGTGAACACTACCACCACACGCTCCTGTGAACACTACCACCACACACTCCTGTGAACATGACATAAGTTAGCAAACATAAGAACGTCGTTAAAGAATGTTATCAAGGATGTTTTCAAGTCCATACACACACTAAGTTAGACACTACCTACGTTAGACAATTACTTGAGTATGCAGTACCAGCATGGAACCCAGACCTTGTGAAGCATAAACAGAGAACTGAGAAAGTTCAGAGGTTTACAGCTAGATTATTGCCGGAATTGAGAGTACCTCAATTGTGAGGACAAGTTAAGGTAACTTGCCCTCTCATCCTTACAGAAGAAAAGAAACAGAGGGATATGATCACTGCATAAAAGATCTTGAGGGGAATAGACACAGTGGAAAAGGGCAGCCTATTTAATTTAAAACGAGGTCGGACAAGGGGACGACGCGACTGAGTCTTGGAGATGTGAGGAAGTCCCTCGTTCCCTGTACTGAAGGAGGAGGAGGTTGCTGAAGCCAGTTCCAGCCACAACTTTAAATATATATATGATGAAAAGGTTTATGTAGAGATGGGAAATTAACGCGCCAGGTATGAACGGTTTGGAGGCGGGGCTTAAAGAGCTAGAGTTCCCTTCTGCGCAGTCTCTGATGGGTAGTCTCTGATGGGTAGTCTCTGATGGGTAGTCACTGATGGGTAGTCACTGATGGGTAGTCACTGATGAGTAGACTCCGATGGGTAGTCTCTGATGGGTAGTCACTGATGGGTAGTCACTGATGGGTAGTCACTGATGAGTAGACTCCGATGGGTAGTCTCTGATGGGTAGTCTCTGATGGGTAGTCTCTGATGGGTAGTCACTGATGGGTGGTCTCTGATAGGTAGTCTCTGATGGGTAGTGTCTGATGGGTAGTCTCTGATGGGTAGTTAGTGATGGGTAGTCACTGATGGGTAGTCTCTGATGGGTAGTCTCTGATGGGTAGTCACTGATGGGTAGTCACTGATGGGTAGTCTCTGATGGATAGTCACTGATGGGTAGTCTCTGATGGGTAGTCACTGATGGGTAGTCTCTGATGGGTAGTCTGATGGGTAGTCTCTAATGGGTAGTCTGATGGGTAGTCTCTAATGGGTAGAAGGAGCCGGTCGGCCGAGCGGACAGCACACTGGACTTGTGATCCTGTGGTCCTGGGTTCGATCCCAGGCGCCGGCGAGAAACAATGGGCAGAGTTTCTTTCACCCTATGCCCCTGTTACCTAGCTGTAAAATAGGTACCTGGGAGTTAGTCAGCTGTCACGGGCTGCTTCCTGGGGGTGGAGGCCTGGTCGAGGACCGGGCCGCGGGACACTAAAAAGCCCCGAAATCATCTCAAGATAACCTCAAGATAAGATAGTATCTGATGGGTAGTCTGATGGGTAGTTAGTGATGGGTAGTCTCTGATGGGTAGTCACTGATGGGTAGTATCTGATGGGTAGTCTCTGATGGGAAGTTAGTGATGGGTAGCAGACGTTGGGTGAGACAACGTACCCCGTGTATGAGTCTGGTGGCGTGGGCGCGGGGAAGGCGGCGCAGGGAGGGCGTGGCGCGCAGGATGAGAGGCGTGTGCTTGACGTACTCTTCGGGCACCACGGCACGGGCACGCCTCAGTAGAGGTACCAGCAGGGCGCGCATCTGAGGGCAGAGAGGGAGGTAAGGCCAGGCTCTGAGGGCAGAGAGGGAGGTCAGGCCAGGCTCTGAGGGCAGAGAGGGAGGTCAGGCGAGGCTCTGAGGGCAGGGAGGGAGGTCAGGCCAGGCTCTGAGGGCAGAGAGGGAGGTCAGGCGAGGCTCTGAGGGCAGAGAGGGAGGTCAGGCCAGGCTCTGAGGGCAGAGAGGGAGGTCAGGCCAGGCTCTGAGGGCAGAGAGGGAGGTCAGGCCAGGCTCTGAGGGCAGAGAGGGAGGTCAGGCGAGGCTCTGAGGGCAGGGAGGGAGGTCAGGCGAGGCTCTGAGGGCAGGGAGGGAGGTCAGTCGAGGCTCTGAGGGCAGAGAGGGAGGTCAGGCGAAGCTCTGAGGGCAGGGAGGGAGGTCAGGCGAGGCTCTGAGGGCAGGGAGGGAGGTCAGGCGAGGCTCTGAGGGCAGGGAGGGAGGTCAGGCCAGGCTCTGAGGGCAGGGAGGGAGGTCAGTCGAGGCTCTGAGGGCAGAGAGGGAGGTCAGGCGAAGCTCTGAGGGCAGGGAGGGAGGTCAGGCGAGGCTCTGAGGGCAGGGAGGGAGGTCAGGCGAGGCTCTGAGGGCAGGGAGGGAGGTCAGGCGAGGCTCTGAGGGCAGAGAGGGAGGTCAGGCGAGGCTCTGAGGGCAGGGAGGGAGGTCAGGCGAGGCTCTGAGGGCAGGAGGGAGGTCAGGCGAGGCTCTGAGGGCAGAGAGGGAGGTCAGTCGAGGCTCTGAGGGCAGTGAGGGAGGTCAGGCGAGGCTCTGAGGGCAGGGAGGGAGGTCAGGCGAGGCTCTGAGGGCAGGGAGGGAGGTCAGGCGAGGCTCTGAGGGCAGAGAGGGAGGTCAGGCGAGGCTCTGAGGGCAGGGAGGGAGGTCAGGCGAGGCTCTGAGGGCAGGGAGGGAGGTCAGGCGAGGCTCTGAGGGCAGGGAGGGAGGTCAGGCGAGGCTCTGAGGGCACAGAGGGCGGTCAGGCCAGGCTCTGAGGGCAGAGAGGGAGGTCAGGCGAGGCTCTGAGGGCAGAGAGGGAGGTCAGGCGAGGCTCTGAGGGCAGAGAGGGAGGTCAGGCGAGGCTCTGAGGGAGGTCAGGCGAGGCGCTGACAAAAGCACTTCAACAGGGCAGATCATGGAGAGTGTGTTGTACAAACACCTTGTGAGGGCCCCCAGTTCTTGTCTGGGGTCGCGGGCTGAAGGCAGGCTTCACACAACAGCCTGCCAAGTCAGGAATAATGTGTACAGCTGTTTCAGTGGTTAACTAATACAACGTCACTGTAACCTGTCACAACAACAATTCTCTGATGTTTCCTTCAGCTTATATCCAACACACACGCCGTGTTGAGCAGTCTTGCTTCTGGTGGATTAACATATTATTTCTCAACATTTACGCTGCATTAAAGTCTTTTCCGTTACTGAATACCTTAACTTCTCTCCAGTGACCATAATGACTCGTATGATTAACTAATACGTTATTTAATTATGCTGTCTAAATGTCATTTCTAAATACTGATGAAAAGTGGTGCGTATAGAGGAGAAACAAACAGTGTAGCGAGACAAAGGGGGACAAAGAATAAAGTCTTGAGGCTCTGCGATTGGTGCAATCTATCAATTTTTCTCAGTCATTTAATTCAGATCCTCTTTGTACATAAAGTTAGCAAAGCAAAAGCGTATCTGAACCCAGCCACAGCTCAACTTAGAACAGTGGCACCTCATCTTAGTATGCCAGGCACGAGTCAGAACAAAGCACATAATCTATTAGGCACCGAAATTAATTTAGAAAGAGAGAGAGAGAGAGAGAGAGAGCAAGAGAGAGAGAGAGAGAGAGAGAGAGAGAAGAGAGAGAGAGAGAGAGAGCAGAGAGAGAGAGAGAGAGAGAGAGAGAGAGAGAGAGAGAGAGAGCAAGAGAGAGAGAGAGAGGAGAGAAGAGAGAGAGAGAGAGAGCAAGAGAGAGAGAGAGAGAGAGAGAGAGAGAGAGAGAGAGAGAGCAAGAGAGAGAGAGAGAGAGAGAGAGAGAGAGAGAGAGAGAGAGAGAGAGAGAGAGAGAGAGAGAGAGAGAGAGAGAGAGAGAGAGAGAGAGAGAGAGAGAGAGAGAGAGCAAGAGAGAGAGAGAGAGAGAGAGAGAGAGAGAGAGAGGAGAGAGAGAGAGAGAGATGGGGAAGATACAGACAGACTGAGAGAGAGAGATATACATAAATTATTATTATTATTATTACAGACAACGAGGGCATTATATGGACCTTGACCGCCTCACACAAGCAGCAGGTTCTCAAACAATAATGACAAACTGCTGCAGTTCTTGTAGTATTCGTATTTATCCGTCCTTCTTCCGATCCCTCTATCCATTCATCCTTCAGTCTACCAATACATATATACATCCGTTCGTCTATCAGTTTATCCATCTATTCGTTCACCTTATTATCGATACACTTATCCATCTGTCCACCCTTCCACATAACCCTAAATTTAGGAAAATATATCCATCCATGGTTCCATCCCTCCATCCACCAATGCATCCTAGCACCAACCATCTATCCATTTAAACAATTATTTACCAGACCATCCATTAAATAATCTAGGGATCAAGCCACCCGCCCACCCACCCATCCATGAACCATACTCCTTTTCATATTTACAGAATAGCGAATGTATATTGCACTGCAGTTTGCAAGGACACAGCCGCAACACGGTGCAGCTCCTGCACGGAACGTGTTGCACGACAGGAATAGGATGACCTCCGCTGACCCTTTAGAGAGAGAGGTCACAACGCCGACCATTAAAAGATGCAGAGATACCAGACCCCCACAAGCCATCTTGGCCCTATAACAATGTATGGGTGGGTAGAGTGGCCAGGAGGCATATCAACTGTGGGAATTCTGACAACACTTGGAAAAACGAAATGAAACGTCTAGAGGTCGTCTTGTTTGGGAGGGGGGCCTATCTTGAGGTTACCTTGAGGTGCTTCCGGGGCTTAGCGTCCCCGCGGCCCGGTCGTCGACCAGGGGCCAGATTCCCGAAAGCACTTACGCAAACACTTACGAACCTGTACATCTTTTCTCAATCTTTGGCGGCTTTGTTTCCAATTATTAAACAGTTAATGAGCTCCGAAGCACCAGGAGGCTGTTTATAACAATAACAACAGTTGATTGGGAAGTTTTCATGCTTGTAAACTGTTTAATAAATGTAACCAAAGCCATCAAAGATTGATGAAAGATGTACACGGTCGTAAATGCTTGCGTAAGTGCTTTTGTGAATCTGGCCCCAGGCCTCCAAGATCAACGTAATAATGTCCAAATCTTGATGCAGTTCATGCCGGACACCAAAGTAACTGTCTTAGAATACTAGCTCCTAGTATCAACCCAGATCCTGGAATACTGCTGCTCCACACTGGATATGTCCATTGGCGAGCTGCCAGAAATATTATCCTCCCCATCTCACTGTGTCAAAGTCAGTTTTAAATTCAGTAACTGTCTCTTCATTTCTGTCTGTCTGTCTCTTATTTCTTTCTTTCCCTCTCACATTCCATTCAGTCCTTTTCTCTTTGTGTTCTGCGCTCTCTCACAGTTTTTCTTCAAACACGGCCAGGCGCCTTTTAGTGCACGTCCTCTCTGTACTCTCCCTTCTCCTCCTCCCCCCCCCCTCCCCCTCGACCATCAGACCTCCTCTCCTCTCTGATGGCTGTTAGAGTACAACCTCAACAAGTGTGAGGTAATGAAGACGGGAAGGGGATATCGGACTCAAGAATGAATGTTCCATAATGAGAAGTCAACTACAAGAATTAGAAAGCGAAAAAGAATTTAGAGTGGAATAATTGCAGCTGTAACACACAGGCTCCCATAAACAGGGTAATATCGGCATAAAAGAACTAAGAAGAGCGTGTCTGTAGAGCAGCGTCACTCAGCATATGGGAAGCGTCTCTCTGAATTGGGAGGACTAGGGTACGAAAATTGGTTAATGGAACTCAATCTCGCGACGTTAAAGGTGCTGAAGGGAAATGGTGGTGGTGGGGGGGGGGGAGATTACGACATACAAAATATTGAGAGGGGGGGGGAGAATATAACATGTAGAGAAGAACATATATCTGCCTCTTATGGGCCAATAGGCCGTCTATAATTTCTATTATTCTCGTGTTGCCAAACTGGCAAATAAGGAGAGGAGGATATATAGATGGCAGTGGGAAACACTTTAGTCAAATGGGAGGAAATTAATGTACTTGTTAGGGTGGTCAACACGTGGAATACACTGAGAGAAGAGATCGTTACAGTCGCTTTCATTTACAATTTCAAGAGTAAATACGAAAAAGACTTCGAACGTAGGAAAATTAAAATACACATCATGTGCAACGAGGCCAGTTGGCGGGCTTAAACAGCTTGACCTCCAACCCCTTCTAGACAATAGGAAGACGGGGCTAAGGAGAGTTTATTGTGCACCCCATACTCATCCTGTGAGTGGTAGCGCAAAAAGGATTACAGACGACACAAAAGGTCTTCATCAGACCTCAACGGAAATTATTACAATTACATCTATCCTACACACCTTATTATTATAATATCAGCAAGTGACAGAGATTGTTCCATTGCAATAGCTATGTCTTTACTATTAAACATTATACATTAATGGTAGGCCTTTTTGCTAATAATTGCTGATTTAGCTATGGCGGTATTACAGGTTAGGGGTCTATTGCTCTCCCCTGTAAACACGTCAAGGGGACAACATTGTGAAAGTTTAGACGAATTCTATTACGTAAGCACAAGTTGTTACACCTCACCTGTTCTCACTCCACCAAATTATTCCCCTCCTCCAGCACCCCTCCCTATCCTCTACCCCACTAACCCACTCCTGCACCGTCCCCATCCTCTACCCCTCTTACCCTACACCCCTCCCATTTCCCTATCAGACCTGGTCAACAACAAAGACTGGGGGGGGGGGTCTTAATAAACACTAAAGTCCTCCTCGCATTCTGGCACCGCACGCCGTCAGTACATAAGGGTGAGACG